GCCAAAGGTTTGCAGATATTCCGTGAGCTCCACCTCAAGAATTGACTACTTTGACAAGCCCTTGGCTGTTTATGATTTGGGGCATTGACCTGATCGGCTCATTGCCTCAAGGAAAATAAGGCTTTAAGTTTGCAGTGATTGCTATTGATTACTTTACCAAGTGGGCAGAGGCTGAACCCTTGGCTACCGTCACGTCGAACAAGCTGAAGGATTTTGTCTACAAAAATATTATTTGTCGGTTTGGAATCCCCCACACTGTAATAATCGACAACATGAAATAGTTTGACAGTGAAGACTTCAGATCTTTCTACAGATAACTTATCATCAAGAAGAGCTTCATCGCAGTTTACCGGCCTTAAGCCAACGGTCAAGTGGAGGCTGTAAACAAGGTCATCAAACATACCATTAAAAAGAAGCTCGATGCCCTAAAGGAAAGATGGGCCAAAGAATTGCCCAAGGCCTTGTGGTCCTATAAAACGACAGCCAAGAGTTCGACAGGTGAAACCTCATTCTCTTTATCATACGGATGTGAAGCAATGGCCCCAATTGATGTGGGAATCAGTTCGTTCTGAAGGAAAGTTTTCAACGAGGAAGTAAATGAAGACCTTCTCCGCTTAAGGCTAGATTTAATTGAAGAGCACCAGGCCAAGTCTCAATTGAGGCTCACCTCATATCAGTAGCGAGCCAAACGATACTTCAACACTAAGCCAAATGATACTTCAACACCAAAGTCAAAAACAAAGACTTTGAAGTAGGCAACTTGGTTCTCAGAAAGGTCATCCAGGGGACCCAAAAACTGAACTTGGGGGCACTTGGACCTTGATGGGAAGGTCTTTTTCAAGATCTTAGAAAAGCTCACACCAGGGTCTTTTCACATAGAACACCTTAACGACGAACCAATATTGCGAGCCTGGAACGCCGAGCATTTGCGAAGGTATTATCAATAAGCAGCTCGGGTCCCACTTACGTTTCTCTTTTTTATTCGTTGTAAGGCCACTCACAGCCAAAGCACTTGATCAATAAAAGACGTATTATTCATGATTTCTCTTTGTTCACTGTTAATGTTTTTTTAGCATTTATTTATTGCCTCAAAGGTCGTGACCTACGCAATGGTATTCCAAAAAGAAAACTCAGAGTCAAGAGTCTGGAAAAGGTAACTTATCCCAAAAAGCCACGCCAAAATCCAACTCCTTGAGGATGAAACATCCTAAATCGACGAAGTTAAACATGAAAAAAAAAAATTCAAGAAAAAACATGTAGAAGGAAATCGGCCTTAAGCCAGCGACTAAAACTCGAAGCGAACAATTGATCCAGAATCGGAGTTGCTTGTCGCAAAAGATTTCCTTGCACACATCCAAAAAACTCTTCAAGAAGCGAGCTACACATAACTTAGAGTGAATTCGGATCTTCTATTACAAGTCCAACTAGGACGAATGAAATGACTTCGTAGAAATATAATAATCGTTGCTTGATAAGGGAATACTAAGAAATTTCTTTTTCATTAATAAAATTATGTTGCATTCTAAAAAAAAGAGAAGAAAAACAACAACCAAAGAAAAAAAAATGTATGATGCTTCAGACAGTTGGGGGAGCAAGGGGATCATCCTCAACTGATCCAGGGAGCTCGGTCCCAATGGGAAGAGATAGTTCTTCAATAGAAGGGACGACAATAGATTCTCCAAGGTTTGGAGCCTCGCTCGGGGCAAGTGTAGATAGGGGAGCCAGATCCTCGACTTCTAGCTTGAGCACGATCTCCTTTTCGCCCTCCTCACACTCTTCTTGGCCCTTACTATCATCCTTGGAGTCATCTAAGTACTGTAGGCCATTCCTTGGGCTTCAACCTTCATCCTCTCGACTTCATTCTGGTAAGCTCGCGGAAGGAAAGAGAAGTCGATCATGGGGTGAGCTTCCCATAGCTTGTACACGAGAAAAACCGACGTTTGCTATACTTGAGTAGTGATGGCCTCGTTCAGCTCCTTAATTTGAAGCCTGAGTTGCTCGGCCTCAGCTTCGACTTTCCGTCGACCTTCCACCTCCTGAGCAAGGTCAAGCAAGGATTGCTTAGATTTGGCCTCCCAGTCCGAGGTGGCCTTCTGAGTTGAGGAAAACTCAGAGTTTAGCTTGTTATTGGTACCTCGTTGCTGTACCAAATTCTTCCCGGCTTCCACTATCTTAGCTTCAGCCTTTGTTCGAATAGCCTTGCTCACGTTAAGCTTGTCAAAGAATTCCCTTTTCTTGACCCCAAAGGTTGCCATTTCCCCCCTAAGCCGTTCGAGCTCAGCTTCCTTGGTCGGCTTATCTTTCTTTGCAACCTCAACTCTAGCTAGAACATCCTCTTTCATCGTCTCCGCCAGTTTCCATCCCTTGTGATCGGATAACACTACTCTGCGACTCTTGGAGTCTTCGTAGGTATATGACTTTTTTGTTAATGTTATAAAATTTGTGTGAATGATCAAAGTGTCGGAATGAATTTATGCATATTTCAATTAATCTATTAGAACTCTGTAATTATCTAATCTTGAAACTGTTAACCAAATAAAAGTTCTAATGGTCACTTCTATTAAAAATGGTAGGAATTCGAACTCAAAAAACCATATTAGATCTTCTTCTTACTTTTTTACCCGAACTTGAATTTAAACTTGAAAATCCATATTAAATCTTTATTTACCCTCCTAATGTGAGACTACTCAACAGTAATTAAAGTTATAAAATTTTAATGTCTTAGTTTAGATGTGACAAACACTGAACATAGCACTTTAATTTATATTTTTATTCATTTCATTTCTCAAATTCATTTCAACTCTGTTTATTAGGTTGGACCGCAGCCGAATATGAAAAAGTAAAAGAAAAAGAAAAAAAACTTATTGAGTCGTTTACTTGTTTGGGGGGTGGGGTGTGGGGAAGCCAGTCAGTTTTCAAAGACAGCATATAGAATTATGAGAAACACTATGCATACTACTGGTTTTTACTAACCAGCCTACAACATGACGTGGCATCTGATGTGGAGATGCCAATTCATCTGCCACGTTAGATAGTTTTAAAAAAAAAAAATTTCCCCAAAAAATTTCGCGCAACTGGGTTTATAGAACAAAATTTTGCCTGCAAAAACTTTGCCTCTGTAATCTCAATCTTAATAACTTAAAATCTTCTCTCCCAAATCTCAATCTTAATAACCTAAATCTCCTCTCTCAAATCTCAATCTTAATAACCTAAATCTTCTCTCTCAAATCTCAATCTTACTCAAAACCCAAACTACCCATCCCGAATTTGACCATTTGAACTGTCAGCTGCGACATCCATTGTCGTTGTCGCATTTGTCTTTGTCGCTGACCAGTGAGAGTTCCTTTTGAGTGGTAAGAGCTTACTCACTCAATGGTCTCTCTTACTTACTTGCTGTTGTTGGGAGAAGTGGAACACAACACTTGCTTGGTGCTTTTGAGTTGAGAACCATGTATAAGTGTGTACAAATTTTATGATAAACAATATTATAGTAAAAAGGAGCTTTGTAAATCCAATAAATTGAAGAAATTTTGTGCAAATTAAAATGGTGAAAGGAACTGCACAATTTGGGGAAGAAAAGGTGAAAAAAATGGTTTGAAATGTTTTATATAAGGTGTCGTGGAGCTTGCAAAGCTTAATATTCATAGTGTTTCTCAAACCAGTAGTATCCCAATCTTTGCCTCCAAAAACTGCTGCTGCAAATGGCTATCATCAAAATGTCACATAATTCGTGAATCTTCAAAATTTGAACAATGCATTGTTGAAATCTTTTTTCCTTCTCTTATTAGTTGTGGCCATTTCATGTGCTGCGTTAGATGGGTATAAGAATGAAGTAAGAAATGAGTAGATACTTGTTCCTAAATCTTCAAAGTAGCTAATCGAATATACACCTTGAATTGAAAGACTTAGAGTTGTATATGGGTTTTACTTTGGTATTCCATAAGGACCAAGATAAATATACATATGTTGACTTGAGTCAATTTACAACTTAATTATGTGAACAATTTATTTTAACAAAATTCTGCATTTAGTATCAGAGCCAATTTGACTGACTTCAATGGCTGATTTCAAGTGCTTTTTGCTGTTGAAGGGCATGATCTCGATTGTAATGGAAGTGTGTCTAAATGGGACATCAATTCTTGTTATTTATGTTCCCCTTGCTTATCTTTTTGTTATATGTTCAGAAGCATGTATAACTAAATCATTCTCTAGTTAGGTACGTATATGGAGTTCTTGAATTCAGAAATCTTATCAGTTGTTATAACCATTTTTTGTTTCAGGGTTCTGGTTGGAAAAAGGTTGGCAATTTTTAAGGACTTTTCCAAACAGATTCAAGCAGCACCCTTCGGACAAACATTTCGAGATCAATACTGTCAAGAGGGTATGTTACTGCTGCTTATACCAATTCACTGCCTATGAATAAAGGTGTAATTCTTTCAGGATTTTCCGTTCTTTTTCAATCAAATTGTGTTAAGACATAGATGGTTATCTTCTTGATTTAACTGTAATTATTAATTGTTTTTTCTTAATTATTAATACACAAGTTTAGTTTAGTTCATTGCATCCAAAATGAATTTAAGTTGTTAAGGGTTTTGTAGAGGAGCAGAAACAAAGGTTGATAACATGCAAGAGCGGACAATGGAGGAGATAAATGAACAGTTAAAGGCTTCAGTTTCTAATATTGAAAGGGTAAGCATTGTAATGAAATGAAGTTATTATTATGTATCAATGAGTACCCATGTTTGTATGATAAATGATGAATTTTTGTATACGTACAAGTTAATGTAGTTTAAACAAAAATTTGGATGGTTTTGTTTCTATCATGTTTGTTATCTTATAATATTTTAATTCTGGGTATTATAATATAAATGAATCAGGATAATCAATTTGAAGAAGTTGAAGATAGAGGAAGTGTAGAGGAGGAATTGGAGCCGTAGCTTTGGATGGTTTTTGATTCACTTGATAATCTTCTCCAATACTACAGAAGCTATGGGAATAGAATGGGGTTTGAAGTTATTATAAGATCCTCAAGGAAAGGAGATGATGGAGAGGTGACAAATGCAACACTAGCTTGTTCTTGTACTAGGAAGTCGAGTAGTAACACCCGAAATGCTTTTAAATTGTACCCAGTGACAAAGACAGATTGTAAGGCTCGGGTTGGTGCAGCCGTACGTGGTAACGGAAAATGGAAAATATGTTCAGTGGGGTTGAATGATAACCATGAGCTCAGTAGCCCAACGAAAACTAGATATTTCAGGAGCAATCGTGGTATACAACCATATGTGAAAAGGAGACTTGAAGTAAATGATAGGGCCGGGATTAGGCCGAACAAAAATTTCAATTCCATGTTAGTTGAAGCAGGCGGTCCTGAGAATTTGACTTTCCTGCAAAAAGATTGTAGGAACTATATTGAAAAAGTTAGGAGGATGCGACTTGGTGTCGGGGATGCTTATGCAATCCAAAAATATTTTTTAAAGATGCAAAAAGATAATGCAAATTTCTTTTACATGATGGATTTAGATGATGAGGGTCGATTACATAATGTTATATGGGTGGATGCAAGAAGTAGGACTGCATTTAAGGAATTTGGCGACGTTGTCACATTTGACACTACATTCTTGACCAACAAGTATGATATGTCATTTGCGGCGTTTGTTGGTGTTGACCATCATGGGCATTCAACACTCTTAGGTTGTGGGTTAATCTCCCATGAGGACACGGAGACTTTTGTTTGGCTTTTTGAATCTTGGCTTGCATGTATGTGGAATTGTGCTCCAAATGCAATAATAACTTATCAAGACAAAGCGATGCAAAATGCAATCGAGATTGTGTTTTCGGGTACACGGCATAGATGGTGTTTGTGGCATATAATGAAGAAATTGCCGAAAAAGTTAAGGGGTTACAACGAATACGAACATATTAAGTTTGCTTTGCAAAATGTTGTATATGATTCTTTGACACGTGAGGAGTTCGAACAACGTTGGACTGGATTCATTGATAAATACAACCTTCACAACAATGAGTGGTTACTTGGACTGTATAATGAAAGACAACGTTGGGTGCCATCGTTTGTAAAAGACACCTTTTGGGCGGGTATGTCCACCACTCAACGGAGTGAAAGTATGCATGCATTCTTTGATGGGTATGTAAATTCTAAAACCACTTTGAAATAGTTTGTAGAACAATATGAGAATGCACTGTGTGATAAAGTAGAAAAAGAAAAGGAGGCTGATTTTAGATCATGGAAATCATCGATTCCTTGCATAACTGGTTATCCAATGGAGAAACAATTTCAAGAGGCATACACGACTGCAAAATTCAAAGAGTTTCAACAAGAGCTTACTGCTAAGTTGCATTGTGAGATATCTTCTTTCCGGGCCACTGAATCTGAAATAGAATATATTGTAAAGGAAGTTGTCGTGGTAGGGGAGACATGTCGTAGTGTGCCTTTTGTGGTTTGCTGTGATGACTGTGGTTGTGATGTTCGTTGCAATTGTCGATTGTTTGAATTTAGAGGGATTATTTGTCGACATGCAATAACGGTATTGCTTCATAAAGACATTTATCATATATCTGAAAAGTTCATTTTAAGAAGGTAGAGGAAAAATGTATATAGATGCCACACGAAGATTAGAGTCAGTTATAATAGCTGGAGCAAGACTGCTGAAGGAGAACGGTTTGATCAGTTGTCTAATTCATTCTCTGAGGTGGGCTGATTTAGCCTCAACCAATATTGATGATAGTAATATGGTGATGCATATGATTACTGGCATGAAGAAGAAATTATTGTCAAATGAACGTGCTGGCAGGATTGATAGCCATGATGACATGTCATGTCACAGTGGATCAAATTTTGATAGTGTTCACGCTAATTCCACAAAGGCAAGCAATAAAATTTTAACTCCCTGGGCTGTTCATTGCAAAGGTCGACCTCCATTCAAAAGGAAGCAATCAAAGCTCGAACAAAATGTACGTAAAGGTAAACAAAAGAAATTTCATGAAAAAGTGTGTGTTGCGACATCCCTAAATCGATTGTATGACGGGGGTTCCCAAGAAACCAAGCAAGCAAATGAACATTTTCAAGATGCGATTAACTTCCAAGGATGTGAAGAAGGAGTTCATATATTAAGCTAGGTATGATTCATTAATTTTCTGCCCTTTTCTTTTTGGTGTACAATTAATTTCTTAAGTCATTTTTTTTACATTTTCCAGAATTACAGTGAAAGGTCAGTCGCTTACAGGCCGTATCCAGCAGATTCAAACTTGTGAATAAAGAATAATAGGTGAAGACCATGGTGAAAAGAATAGACAATTTGAAGATGTTATATCGTAAATTTGTATTATATAATTTATTTTTGTTCGTTTATAATCCAAGTTAAAGATATCATGCTGTTCTTGGATAATATTTTGTTCTTGTACCATATATTGTGCATAGTTTCTTACCCTTGTATCATGAACAATATATTTTGTTCTTGTCTAATATTTTGTACATGCAAGGCATCAATTTAAAAGACGCAAGATTTACTATAAGCAAAAAAACACTTTATTAATACAATTGCTGGTATTAGCCATTTCTTGTACAATATTTTTACCAAACAATACATGACCCCACAACATAACATTGGGGAAAGAACATCTAAACCTTGAAGCATTTGAAAACCTAAATTAGAAGCAATAAATTACATCAATGAGTTGCAAAAATATGGTTCTCTTTAAAAAAGTTGAGTCCGATGAGCTGACTTCTTGATTCTGAACAATCAATTTATGTGATTTTGTTGATGGCTGCGAGTGGTTGCAGGGGTGCTGCGGGTGTTAGGTTGGTGAAATCTGGGTTGGGTAAGGCCAATAAAGGTGGTTGGGGCGCGGCAGCTGTGGTGGCGGGTGATGGCTGGGAAAAGACTGCAGTGAAGGGGGGCAATGTGTGGTGGTGGGTGATGGTTGGGAAGTGACTGCAGTGGACAAAAAAAGGGGTCAGTGTGCAGTGGGAATGGCTGCAATTGGTTGGAGGGGTGCTGGCGGTGTTAGGTTGGTGAAATGTAGGTTGGGCAAGGCCAAGAAAGGTGGTTTGGGGCGTTGGGAGGAGACGCACATGCACTGGGAGCTACTTGCGGCGCAACTGCTTGCTTGCTTATTCCTTGGTTTTGGTTTTGGCAAATGGTTGAGCAGGTGGTGAGCATAGAACATATTCAGGTGGATATGGTGACTGACTGGCTGGATGCATGGGGAAGGCTGGAAAACATTACAACTAATCAAACAACACAAACACTCCCAATATAATCAATCTCCCATCAAACAAACTCCAAAACAAATACGCCAATCAAGCTACTATTCCCACTATCCATTCCTCTCGTAAGCCAAACCACCTTACTGGGACCCTTTTTCAGACCATTCCAACACTATTTTCAAACAGGTCTCCACATTGAATCTGCAAAAGTATAAGCAAATAAAATAAGGATTCCAAAGTTTAAGCTCCTTTAAGATAAAATGGATATGCCATGAATATTTATAGTTAAAGAACCAACCTGGCATTCAGTCTCATCAGGCTGATTGTTGCAGGTCTAGAGGCAAGCAACATTAGCAGCACATGATGGGTTAGAAATGCACTTAGCAAGTTCCAGCATGGAAATGATATTCCATATGTTCAGATGACAGGAAGTGAGATGCTTAATTTTGTTAAAGATAAAAAGATCTTCCTATCAGCCATTAACTGTTCTGCAAATGCGTTGCCAAGAAATCCCATAAAGGCATGTAATTTGTTAAAGATAAAAAAATGTCATATACTATGGTTTCCATGAAGATGAGAACAAAGTCAGATTCTAGGAGTGATTCTTACCTCGTTCCAAACCCCATATTAACCAATGATACTAGTTGACTAAAACTGGAAACTGAAGGAGGGGCATTGTTTTGAGGGGTCGAAGAGTGTTCGCTTTGAGTGGCCACAAGAAATTGTCTTTGGCTGGCAAGACCAGGGTTGACGGGCCCTGTGTAGGGATTGCAAAGAAGATTGTCAAACTCAATTAACTTGGAATTGAGTAAATTCCTTTCTCTCTCAACCTGTAACAAGATTTGTTTAATCATGTTAGCAAAGAAAGAAATGTTTCTGCACATCTACATAACTAATTTCTAATAACAATACCAGAAGTTAGTCTTTAACAAATTATTTTCACTGAATGTTATTCTTTGGCAATGCCCACCAAGTATTTACTCAAATGCAATTCAAAATTACAGAACTATAAAGTAATATCTTAAGAAGGATGTACCAACATAAAATTTGAGAAAAAAATTCTATGCACTAATTGAATTTCAACAGCTGCACAAAATGAGATGTGAAAATGTATTATAAACAATTATGAACATGGAATTGTGTAAGCGAAAATTATGGTTTGCCAGATTTTCTTACTATAGACTGCAAGCCCAACCCACGCTTAGCATCATCATATGCTGTTGCCCGCAATTCTTCATAGCTAACATCACCAACAATGTCACATGGAGCACTGCAATCAAAAGACTAAAGTTTAGAATGCAAGGGGTCATCCCAATTTGTTTTCATGATTACCATAAAGAAGCAGAGCCTAGTATTCTTGGTGTACTCTGGATAGGGACAAAAGGATATTAGAGCAACAAATAATGCTCACTATATCATTTGTTTTCTTCAGAGGATGGGGTGGTGCTTGGATAGTTACTAACTATGCCAGACCATGATTTAGAGGATTTATTGGTATCACAAATTGACACATTCTGCTTCAAAGAATCACATATTATAAAGCCAGCATGTACAACAACCAGATTACTCAACAATATTGCAAATTATATATATCAATGAATATACTTCAGAACCCATATAAATTCATGAATAAATAGTAATCAAAACCGTGGCATATATGCAATTCACTATCACACAAAATACTGAAAAGCATCAATCTTTTACAAGTATCCATGAGCAGACAATCAATGCTCAAGTTCTGAAATGAACTTCTGGTTGCAGAAATTATTGCAGTCAAAAGCATTAATCAATAGTTCTACACAAATTGGTTTTACAAAGCATTGTTTTACAAAAGAAGTTCCAGCATTTGATGGAACCAAGGATCGATTTAATTGACGAACAGAACCGATCCATGGAGCTGTAAACCAAAAAGAAAAATGAAAAAAAAAAAAAAACTGCAGTTAATTGAAACAATCACAAACCCAGAAAACAAGTTCAAACATTGCATTAGAGGGTGATCTTCAGTGGGGATGATAGTGGTTTTTGTCAAGGGAGGCCGGTGAGGTGAAAGGTGGCGTCGGGATAGATTTGTGATGCCGAAATCGATCGAAAATTGGTTTGAAGAGTGCAAACCCTAGATGAGCGGCGACTGGCGATTGGTGGGTGATCTTCGGTAGGGATGATAGGGGTTTTGGTCAAGGGAGGCCGGTGAAGTGAAAGGTGGTGCCGAAGTTTATTTTCGATGCCGGAGTGGTGGCTGGAGATTTAGGGGAGAAGGAGATTCACAAATGGTTTTTGGGCAAAAAATTCGTAAGCGGGAATTTTTTGAGGAATTTTTTTTAAAAGTATCCGACATGACAGATGAATTGGCATCTCCACATCAAATGTCACGTCATATTGTAGACTGGTAAGTAAAGATCAGTAGTATGTATAGTGTTTCTCTAGAATTATTCACCTCTTTGTTGACATTTTTATTCGGTTCAACTTTTTCATCCAGTAGATTTTTTTGTTCAAATTCAACTGCGCAGACAAGAAAAATAATATTAAGCGTGATCAACTCGTAATGAGTTGACTAGTAAAAATTGGTCAAAAAGTAAGAAAGTAACCGAAAAATCTGGGAATTTTCTCGATAGAAATGTCATATTATAAGATGTAACAATAAGATCTTTAAAGAATAAAAAACCAATTAAATTTAAGATTTTTTATTAAAACATTAAATTATCACTTAAATAAATTTAGGATGATGTAATTGTAATTTTAAGATTTTAAGAGATTAGTTAGACAGTTTAATTAAAAAAAAAAAGATGATGTATTTGCTGACCTTAGTATAACGCTAAGTAAATATAATATAATTTATTTTTCTAATTAAAATACAGAAAACATGAGTACAACGGAGAGATGACAAATAGAAGAGGCCAATTACAATACAAACATCTTATTTTAGAAATATATAATTATTTTCTTGACGGGCAATTTATCGAGCAATCAAGAAAACAAATACAAATGCATATAGTAAAATTCAATAAAAAGATGCTGATTGTTTATTTGTCTTGGTCAATCTTTTAGCCCGTCAACAAACAGAGAAGCAAAATCTTCCATTTCTTGCTTCTTCAAAACGACACCGATCTCAACACCGCCGCTTTTGTCTCTACTCTTGGTCAAAGCAATAGCTCCACTCTTATCTATGGACACAATCTCTACCTTCTTCGGTCTCCCCCACCTGAAATCGGACCCGTAAACGTCAAACTGGGTCGACCCTGCTACCCCAAGGCCTTGCACTCCTTCAGACAGAGATTTTATCAATCTCAAGATTTCTGAAAGTGCATCTTTTTTCCCCTCAAATTCTCCCCTCTCTATTCCTTTTATCACATCACTTAACTTCTTTGCGACAAAGGCGACTCCGTTTTCTTCTGTGAAATCTCTTGCTTTTGCAGCGTAAAAATGTGACATAACGCAGTTGCCAACATAATTCAACGGAACTGGAGGCTCTAAACGGGTCCTTAAATCTGCTGTGAACCCGAAAACAACCCTTCCGTTATCGGCCCCTCTTCTAGCTTTTACCAAACAGACGAACACATATGCCAATGTAAGCACAAAAGTTGATGAATGAACTTGCCGTGGTTGTTTGTCTTCTTTTTCATTGTCCTTATTCAGTATAAGCAATACCCGATTCCTTATTTTCTGAATATCATCACGGGTCAACTCAAATGTGGCTCGAACCCAATCGGTGTTCTGCACTACGTTTGGCAAAACCTTCAAGCTTCGTGTGTTGGTATAAGCGAACCAGTTGTTCACATACTCCATGTCAATACCAGTGGGATCTTTGATGACAGTTCGGTCAAAATACGGGGTTAGTTCTGGTAACAAAGAAGGCTCTCCATCTTTACCTAATTGTTTGCATAAACAAGCCCAAGACTTGATAAACATGGTTGAGCTTTTCCCATCAAGTATGGCATGGTGACTTGTTATAGCGATGGAGAACCCTTGATTCGGAAACAAAGTTATTTGTATAGCGATCATCGCTGCTTTGTCATCAGATGTCACCAACTGAGGGATCAAAGGATGGAGCTCCACAGCCTCATGAACTCCGTTATCAGTAAGCGAATTGAAGTCGGCAGTAGATTCTGCAACAGTGAACGTAACGCCATCGTTTGGGGAGTAGTAGATGAAAGGCTTTGGGGCATCTAGGGGCCAGATAAGGTTACCGGCAAGAGGAAGATAATGGAGGAGAGTGAGAGAAAGAGAGTGCTTGAGGTCTGGGAGGATAAATGAGTAGAAGAAATGAGGGGTCAAGTCAGTGATCTGATAGAAGTAAAGGCGCTCAACAGGAGGAAAATTTAACCAAAACATATCGTATAATGTTAGCGGGAGAGAAAACTCGGTGGTTGAGTCGGAGAAAAGAGTAACTTGGGTAACCTCATGTATTTTAAGGGTGTTGGATAACGCCATTAAAAGCCGGAATTAATTAAGCAAGACGTAGTTAGTGCTTCTTAATGAGTTGCTAATTTATCTTTCAACGTTACCCACGACAACTCTCAGAAAAAAAGAACCAGAAGTCAATTGGTTTTACTTTTCTTACTTGTTGTTTTTATATTTGACGAAAGTTTCAAAGTCGATGCCACACTGATTATGGCTCATCACAAATCTTTATATTATAATTAGGGAGGTTGAATTATGAGAAGCGAAGCTAGTCCATTTTGAAGAAAAATTATGCATATTATTTCCTTGAGTAAACGACTTTTTCCTATCGAAATAATAGTTTAATGATATTTTTTTTACAAACAAACTTTTAAAATATTAGTTTATTACTTAAATTTATATTTCTATTCCGATTTCGACATCTTTGCGATCCACACCACCACCATTCTTTTTCCCTCACTAAAACCGCTTAAACCTTACTTATGCCGACTCCACCAGTAGCCGTCAATTGAGCAATTAGAGTTTGCCCCCCCATGGAAAGTTAACAAGAAATGAAGATAGCATGAAATGATAAAAGAAAAAAGGAGCGAACTACCGGTACCTTCGTCGCGTACCTGCACACCAAGGCCAGCATATCGGTTGGAGTAGCATCTCTGATGGCCGTGAAGGTTCGCAAAGTGATTTTGTCCCTGGCTGCTGTGACTTCAATGCTAATATGGTCAGGGAGTTGATCGATCAGAGCGTCGATTGAAGCTTGGGCTGCTTCATCTGTTTTCTTGCTCTTCGACCGGGACGAACTAGATTTACTCTCCTCGGTAGCGCTAGCCTCGCTCATAGGAGCATACTTCTTCTTGGCCAAGTCCTTGGCCGCTGTTTTCTTTAGGCCGCCAGCCTAGCGACCTCTTTGCCTAAGCCACCCTATTGCTCGGCCACTTTTTGTTTGCCCAAGCCCCCCAAAGGCCCAGTTGCTTTCTTCTTACCTGAGCTATCATGCTGCTCAGGTGCCTTCAATTTCCCCGAGCTTCCTATCAACTCGGGAGTTTTCTTCGCCAGCCCCTTTTGGGGCTCGAAGATACTCTTCCTGCTCACTGCCTTTGGAGCAATTATGGGCTTTTTTGCGCTTGAGCCCTCCCCAAGCTCGCCACCAGCATGTTTCACGCCAACGACATCAATGGGCTGCTTCATCGCCAAAGCAACCGGTATCTTCTTGGCAGCCGTCGGAGCTGTCGTTTTCTTCTTAAGGCCTTTGGGTTTCTCGGCCTACATCTCTACAAGAAAGTAACAAACAGTGACTTATCCGCTTGGAAAAAAGTGCAAGCAATCGATAACTTAACATTTTTCCAAGATCGTAGGAATCTTGCATCATCCCGACAGAAATTGTATGCTCGCAGGTGGGGGAGCATAATGATCTTGTTAACGTTACGTTGTCCGTTGGGAAGGTCGCTAAAACGTTAGAGCCTTTGCTTGTTCGCAGCAGGAAGATAGTTTTGTTCAACGTTAACTACAAAACAAAGCAACTCGGTTAGCTAGAACATAAAGTTCGAAAGGGATCCTCGCACGTATGGTAAGTCGAAATCTTACTCACTTTCGAGGTGAAGGCGTCGGTCTCCCAGGCTTCATAGAAGAAATACTGTGAGTCCTAGTACGGGACCTTCTTTGGGACATCGACCAGCCCGTTGAAACGTACCTTCCTCGCTTTGGAAAAGTAGTACGTCTGGTCTTTTCCTTTTTGAGCCTGTACAGATAGACAAGCTCCTCGACGAATAGCTCGCCCAACTCAACGATCATGTATGCTATGTACAGAACAATAATAATTACGTAGGAATTTGTGGAAAGTTGGAGAGGAACGATGTTGAACTGCTTCAGCACGTTGTCAATAAAACAATGAGGGGGAATGGATACCCCGCATCTTAAGAGGGTCTCAAAGGTTGCCACCCATCCAGGCGGGGGATTCTTTCGAGAAATGTCCCTCGGGGCCATCAAATTAAGTTGCGGCGCACAGATCGCTCTTATGAGTTCTAGATCTCCGACGGTAATCGAGGATTGTGGCTCTTTTCGCAGCCTATAGACTGGAGACCGCGCAGGTTGAGCCAATTGTATCTAGGCATGGTCGGAAGAGCCTGCCGCATTGGGGTCCGATCTTCGTGCGGTGATTTCCTCAGAAACCTCGAGAGTTGAATCCCCAAGGACTACCAAGCACGCAGGCGAATCAAACATGCGGTCGATTGTGTGACTACTAGAGGAAGACATGGTTATAGCTCGCTTTTGGGTACCTGAAACAGAAGCGAACATGTGTCAGAGCTCGACCATTTCACACTTGCTTTTAGTTCAGGCACCTAAGATAGCTCGCGCCATACAACAAACGCACACGACCTACCCTAGGTTCTGACGACCATCGTGTTAAACCCTTCTTAAACCCAGGACCGCCAGAGACATATTCAAAAACTCTACTAAAGCCCTAGAACATCCAAGTGCAGAAACTCACTGGAAAGAGCATCGTGACGATGACGAAACAATAGCAAAGTGGACAAAGATGTCGTAGAACTTTCGTGGACTGAATGAGCATTCTGACGACTTTGCCACCTTTTATAGTGGTTTGCATGGAAGATGGAAGGGCAGGGTTTAATCGTAGCCATCGATCTACAGTGAATCTTGACCCTTCATCCGTCGAACAATCTCGGCTCTTAAATGTGGCCACGCGTCATCCATTCGTGAAGGGCAACGAACCATCGGACTATTACACTGATAACCATCATCGCACGTCGCCTCACTTCGCGCGTGGACAACTGTAGTCGCCCACACTCAACAAAATGTGACTGACAAAGGCTACCGTATTTAATGTGACATGACCACTTGAAAATTACGTATTTGCCCTAACTTTTCATGTTCTGAGTTTGGCAGGTATCGCGGACCGAACATGAGGTCAACCCCAACAGCTCGATCGAACCTGCATCAGAAGACCTGTTGGTGATGTCGAGCTTGGCATCAAATCTAGCAATAGTCTTCGAAGCTCGAAACGAGCATCGAACACTAGGGGGCAATGTTCTGTACGATTTTCCACCAAGCTCGGGCTACTACAAGGATATAGCTCGACCCAGGATTAGTCCAACTCCACCGATTGTCTGACCTAACACAAGCTCGTCAACATATAGCTCGACCTAGCATAAGCTAGTCGCGAATAACCCGAATGACTAAATCAACATCAATCTTTGCGCAATCACATCGTCCAATCGTGAGAATATCAGAATTGCAATTCAAATCAATTGTAATCCCTTTATTTTCGCTATTTCTTTTGTACAAACCTTGTATATAAACCCCCTCAAATGATGAAAAAAGGGTTACAACTTTAACATAGAATTCTCATTGTAAGCTCTCACAACAAATACAAAAAATAGTGGACGTAGGCTCAAGAGTTTACCTCGCGCGAACCACTTTAAAAATTCTCATTGTCATTTATTTTATTGCACTTCTGGTCCCATCAAAGTCGATCAGAATTCTCTGGTTGGTGTAGATTTCTATATCAACAATAGGTGTTTTTTTTTTTTTTTTTTTTAATGTTATAGTATTATTCATTTTATCTAATATATAAAATAGTATCATCAGTGTAGATGTAAAAAATCTACGATAACGAAAATAGGGTCTGATCCCGTGAGGTTAAGGCTACTGACAATCCGCTGGACCTGCACAGATGAAAGGACAGGCGTGAAGCTTACGAAAAACAATAGGGTGGTGTTTGCCGTAAGCACTTCGACACTCAAGTCAACAAGGCTGAAAGAGATTATTTAATAAGAATTAAGGGAAAGAGGGATTACCAGGAGTCTTTTCGGAGGTCAGGACCACGGCGAAGGTGTAGAATTCTCAGGAGCAAGAATTCAAGAGTAAGGAGGTGCTTTTGAGTAGTTGAGATTGAATATTGGAGATTGATTGAATAATGAGAGGGCAGACCTTTGCTTTTATAGTAAACCCAAGGGGTTGGAATCCTAGTAAGACACTGAGTCCTATTTTGGGAGATAATCCCTATCAGGAAAGAAATATGATTTTTTGACTTTATCAGACTAAGTTTAATAGTTTGAGGATGATTCAGAATCTCAGTAGAAGAGAAAATAAAATATGATTCTGATTTCCTATTTATAGACTATTGTAGGCTAATAGGTCGAAACCCAATCCAGCTTAACTTTTAGGATAACCTAACTCATATAGTAGGTAGTTTATAATGTGACTTTAAGCGTAGGCCCAATTGAAATTAAGCTAAGACGTTGAGTCGTCACATGTTTATTTCGTTATTGAGTATGGTCAAACCTAAGATGATTTTTTGCTCCTAGAATCAGTTTAAAAATATTAAAACGTGTCAAAGGCAGTTGTAATTATATTGTATAACAAAATTATCAATAATTCTTAAAGTTTTAATATTTATCATTATGTTAAAATTATAAATTATTATATTACTTTCTTAAAATTGTCCTTTCTCACTTGAATTCATAGCTCCGCCACTGCGCTGCCTAAGCCTACTTTAAGTAGATGATGCTTAAAATAATGTTAGCTCATAGGGGATAGGAGAGAGATTTTGTGGAGGCGTCACAAATTTTGTTAAGATGTAAGGTGTTTTGGATAAACTTATTTTGGGATAGCATTGGTTTTGGGGCTTTCATACCTATCATATTAGGTAGCCTACTCTTAGAATAAATGGTATACAGTAGCTTTTTTTTTTTTAGTGTCTAAATCAGTTTATATTTACCTTAATTAATTTTTTAAAATTTTGAAGTAAATGATAGAATAAATTTCCTCCATGACCATTTTTATTAGTATGATTGAAACTCAAAAACTTATATAGAAACTTTTTACTCCTTTACTCTTACCATTAGTTCACTCCTAGCAGTTTTTTTTTTTGGTTGGTCTCTGTGATTATCAAATTATGTGTTTTGTACCGGTATATCTTGGTAATTGTTACAAAAATTATTATGAATAAGTACTAATCAATTGCTAAAGAAACATTAAAATTGAACATGATTAATAGCAATAATATCATATTATGTCTTCAAAATGACATTCTATGTTATCAGAATATTGTTCTAAGAATGTAAAAGTTGCAGAAACCTTATTGATTTTTTAGCCCATCAACATACAGAGAAGAAAAAACCTCCATTTCTTGCTTCTCCAAAACCACACCAATCTCAACACCGCCACTTGCATCTCTACTCCTGGCCAAACCAATGGCTCCACTCCTATCAATTGACACAATCTCCACCTTCTTCGGTCTCCCCCACCCGAAATCCGATCCGTATACGTCAAACTGGGTCGACCCGGCCACTCCAAGTAGTATTCCTCCTTCCACTGATTTCGCCAATTCTATTAACTTTTCTAGCGTCTCTTTTGTTCCCTCATGTTCTCCCCTCTCTATCCCTCTGATCAAATCACTTAACTTCTCTGCAACAAACGCAACCCCTTTTTCGTTCATGAGATCTCCTTTTGTTGCGACTATCGCATGCGACATAACGCAGTTGCCAACATAATTCGAAGGAACCGGAGGATCCAAACGGCTCCTGTAATCTGCCGTGAATCCGAACATAATACGTCTACTATCTTCTCCTCCTCGAGATTTAACAAGGCAATCGAACACATATGCACATGTAAGCACAAAGGTTGATAAATGAAGTTGTTTTAATGGCTTCTCTTTATTTTCTTCCAACAAAGACAATACTTTGTTCCTTAGTTTCTTAATATCCTCACGGGTGAACTCAAACGTGGCTCGATTCCAGTTGGGATTGCCTCCTACCGTTTGCAAAACCTTCAAGCTCCGTTTTTTGGGATCCGAATCCGGTCCGGCATAATTAAACCAGTTGTTCACGTACACCATGTCGATCCCGGTTGGATCTTTGATGACGGTTCGGTCAAAAGAAGGGATTAGTTCCGGCAACAAAGAAGGTTCTTCTTCTTCTTGATGTTTATCTAATTGTTTGCATAGATAAGCCCAAGACTTGAAAAACATAGTTGTACTTCGGCCATCAAGTATTGCATGGTGAGATGATATGCCGATGCAGAAACCTTGATTCGGAAACATAGTTATTTGTATAGAAATTATCGCTGCTTTTTCATCAGATGTCACCAATTCAGGAGTTAAAGGATGAAGCGCAATAGCGTCACGAACTCCATTTCCTGAGAGGTGAGTGAAGTCGGCGCTGGACTCAGCCACTGTGACAGAAACGCCATCGTTTAAGGAGTAGTAAATAAATGGTTTTGGGGCATCATGGGGCCAGATGAGATTACCAGCGAGAGGAAGATAATGGGTGAGAGTGAGAGAGAGAGATTGCTTGAGCTTGGGGAGGATCACTGAGTTGAAGAAATGAGGGGTTAAGTCAGTAATTTGATAAAAGAAAAGGCGTTCAACAGGAGGAAACTTGAACCAGATTGTGTCGTATAAGGTAAGCCGAAGAGAAAACTCGGCGGCGGAGGCGGAGGAAGGAGTGACTTTCGTCACTTCATGTATTTTAATGATAACTTTATTGGTTGATGCCATGAAATTAATGAAAGGGAGATGCAAATTAGCAAAGAGTTGCTTGTATTTTTATATGTATGATCGTTCTTATTTTAGTTTTTTTTCTTTTCTTTTTTTTTGGCTTTGAACATTAATGGTTTAAATATCGGCATTGGAGACATTAATTTCCGCAATTCTAGATGCAATCTTGAATCTTCATGATGATGTAATTTTATGGGGACTGGATCTTGGAAACTACGCTATCTCGAAGACAGAGAGACACTGAAACACAAACAAACAACAAGGCGTTAAATTGATCGGATAACACTACTCTACGACTCTTGGAGTCTTCGTACATGTGACTTATTTGTTAATGTTATAAAATTTGTTTGAATGATCAAACAGCCGAATACGAAAAAGTAAAAAGAAACAAAAAAAAAAACTTGATTGAGTCGTTTACCATTATTATAATATATAAAGGTAGGGTGGGGAGAAAGCCAGTAAATTTTCAAAGACAGCATATAGAATTAATATTATTCACCTCTTTGTTGACATTTTTATTCGGTTCAACTTTTTCATCCAGTAGATTTTTTTGTTCAAATTCAACTGCGCAGACAAGAAAAATATTAGCGGGATCAACCGAATGATTGACTAGTAAAATTGATCAAAAGTAAGAAAGTAACCGAAAAATCTGGGAATTTTCTTATTAGAAATGTCATATTATAAGATGCACCAATAGATCTTTAAAGATAAAAAACTATTAAATTTAGAATTTTTATTAAATATTAAATTATCACTTAAATAAATTTACAATGATGTAATTGTATTTTAAGATTTTAAGAGATTAGTTAAAAAGTTTAATTAAAAAAAAAAGATGATGTATGCTGATCTTAGTGTAGCGCTAGTAATATAGGAAGTATAATTTAATTTTCTAATTAAACTACAGAAAACATGAGTACAACGGAGAGATGACAAATAGAAGAGGCCATTACATACAAACATCTTATTTTAGAAATATAAATTATTTTCATGACGGGCAATTTATCGAGCAATCAAGAAAACAAATACAAATGCTATATAAAATTCAATAAAATGCTGATTTTTTATTTGTCTTGGTCAATCTTTTAGGCCGTCAACAACAGAGAAGCAAAATCTTCCATTTCTTGCTTCTTCAAAACGACACCGATCTCACACACGCCGCTTTTGTCTCTACTCTTGGTCAAAGCAATAGCTCCACTCTTATCTATACACAATCTCAACCTTCTTCGGTCTCCCCCACCTGAAATCGGACCCGTAAACGTCAAACTGGGTCGACCCTGCTACCCCAAGGCCTTGCACTCCTTCAGACAGAGATTTTATCATCTCAAGATTTCTGAAGTGCTCTTTTTTCCCCTCAAATTCTCCCCTCTCTATTCCTTTTATCACACACTTAACTTCTTGGCGACAAAGGCGACTCCGTTTTCTTCTGTGAATCTCTTGCTTTTGCAGCGTAAAAAGTGACATAACGCGTTGCCAACATAATTCAACGGAACTGGAGCTCTAAACGGTCCTTAAATCTGCTGTAACCCGAAAACAACCCTTCCGTTATCGGCCCCTCTTCTAGCTTTTACCAACAGACGAACACTATGCCAATGTAAGCACAAAAGTTGATGAATGAACTTGCCGTGGTTGTTTGTCTTCTTTTTCATTGTCCTTATTCAGTATAAGCAATACCCGATTCCTTATTTTCTGAATATCATCACGGGTCAACTCAATGTGGCTCGAACCCAATCGGTGTTCGCACTACGTTTGGCAAAACCTTCAAGCTTCGTGTGTTGGTATAAGCGAACCAGTTGTTCACATACTCCTATGTCAATACCAGTGGGATCTTTGATGACAGTTCGGTCAAAATACGGGTTAGTTCGGTAACAAAGAAGGCTCTCCATCTTTACCTAATTGTTTCAAAACAAGCCCAAGACTGATAACATGGTTGAGCTTTTCCCATCAAGTATGGCATGGTGACTTGTTATAGCGATGGAGAACCCTTGATTCGGAAACAAGTTATTTGTATAGCGATCATCGCTGCTTTGTCATCAATGTCACCAACTGAGGGATCAAAGGATGGAGCTCCACAGCCTCATGAACTCCGTTATCAGTAAGCGAATTGAAGTCGGCAGTAGATTCTGCAACATGAACGTAACGCCATCGTTTGGGGATTATAGAGAAAGCTTGGGGCATCTAGGGCCAGATAAGGTTACCGGCAAGAGGAAGATAATGGAGGAGAGTGAAGAAAGAGAGTGCTTGAGGTCTGGGACGATAAATGAGTGGAAGAAATGAGGGGTTCAAGTCAGTGATCTGATAGAAGTAAAGGCGCTCAACAGGAGGAAAATTGAACCAAAACGTATCGTATAATGTTAGCGGGAGAGAAAACTCGGTGGTTGAGTCGGAGAAAGGACTAACTCGGGTAACCTCATGTATTTTAAGGGTGTTAAATAATGCCATGAAAGCCGGAATTAATTAAGCAAGATGTAGTTCGTGCTTCTTAATGAGTTGCTAATATATCTTTAAACCCACAACAACTCCCAAAAAAGGATCCATAAGTCGATTGGTTTTACTTTTCTTATTTGTTGTTTTTATATTGGACGAAACTTTCAAAGTCGATGCCGTACTGGTTATGGCTCACCACAAATCTTTATATTATAATTAGGGAGAAGCGAAGCTAGTCCATATTGAAGAAAAATTATGTACATTATTTTCATGGGTAAACCACTTTTTTCCACCCAAATAAAAGTTTGATGACAATTTTTTATTCATAAACTTTTAAATATCAGTTTATTATTTAAATTTATATTTCAGTTTTGATTCTAGCACCTTTACGATTCACATCATCACCATTCTTTTCCCCTCACCAAAATCTCTTAAACTTTATTTTCGTTGACCCCCTCCAATAACTTATAATTGAGCGATTAGGATTTACATAACTGTCGCTCTCAAGTCAAATTTCGATCAATCTTAACTATCAAAATCTAATATTTCATCACCAAAAGATTTATTGATCTCTTCTCTTAAAAAACTTCAATAATTTAGACTAAATTTACTCTATTTGTCATTTAAATATAAATTTGAATAATAAAATAATTTTTTAAAATTTGGTAAGTGAAAAAATTGTCATTAACCCATTGCTTAGTTGGGAAAAAGTCGTTAACTCTTATTTTCATCGGTCTATTTTGTCATGACGTGCACACTCACACATGAAGATGAAGATAATATAATAATATCAGGCTTGACGTATAGTATATAGGATAATATAATTAATTAATTTAGAGGTTCATTAAAATATAGTTGCATGATGAGCAAGATAGACAAACTGACAAAGTATTATTGTATATATTGACGGTCCAATATAGTTGCATGATGAGCAAGATAGACAAAGTATTATTGTATATATTGACGGTCCAATTCCCAGCTACCGAGTAGCAAAACAGAAAAAAGAGAGCAGACTGGAAAAAATAAACAGATTCATCCCAAGTAGAATTGGCTAATTGAGCTTGTTTTCTTGACAATGTAAAGAGTTAATGACGTTTTTTCCACCCAAATAATTGTTTAATGATACTTTTTCACTTAAGGACTTTTAAAATATCATTTTATTATCCAAATTTATATTTTAATAGCAAACAGAGAATAAATTCGGTTCAAACTATTGGGGTTTTTTAAGAGGAGAGACCGATGTATCTTTTGGCGATAGAAGGTTAGATTTTAGTAGTTGTGATCGATCGAATTTGACTTGGGAATGACGGTTATGCCAACCATAATCGCTCGATTGCCGACGATTAGCAGAGTCAACAAGAGTATGGTTTGAGGAATTTTAGTGAATGATAATTGGGAAAGAAAATGGTGGTGGTATGAGATCGCAACAATGCCAAAATCGAAAACGAAACATAAATTTGGATTATAATTAAAGTAGTATTTTAAAAATCTGTTGATGAAAAAGTGTCATTAAGTCATTATTTGGGTGAGAAAAAGTCGTTTACTCTGCATAATAGACAAACATAAATGCCAAGGAGCCTACCAAGAGGATTGCCGACTATTATTTCAATTTACATACTTAAAAGAAGCAATTCCTTTCATTTATTGAATTATTGCTATATCAATACAATTCTTGAACGTAATATCAACATTTAAAATAAATAGAAAGCCGGCTGATGTAAGTATTTTAGCATTATTTATTTAAAATGTCTTAGCCCATCAACAAATAGGGAAGCAAAAACCTCCATTTCTTTCTTCTCCAAAACTACTCCAACCTCAACACCACCGCTTCCATCTCTACTCTCCGCCAGACAAATAGACCCATTTTTATCTATTGACACAACCTCCACCTTCTTTGGCCTGCCCCACCCGAAATCCGACCCATAAATTTCAAACCCGGGCGACCCGGCAATCCCAATTCCTTTTCCCCCCTGTTTCATAAATGGAATCATATATGCAAGATTCTTCCCTGTTTCTTCAAGAACTGATCCCTTCTTTAACTCTTTCATCGACTCACTTAACTTCTCTGCAACAACTGAAACCCCATCTCCCTTTATTATATCGTTGGCTTCTACTATCCCTCCATGTGGACCAACACAATTACCGAAGTAGTTGACTGGAATTGGAGGCTCTAAACGGGTCCTGTAATCAGCTGTGAATCCAAATATAACCTTTGAATTAGGATTTTTACCTTCTTCTTCTCCTTTGGCTCTCGTTATGCAAACGATTACATAAGCGTATGTTAACACAAAAGTTGATAAATGAAGTTGTTCTGACTGCTTTACTTCTTGTACCTCAACCCTTAGCTTCTTGATATCTTCTCGGCTCAACTCAAACGTGGCTCGAACTAAATTGGAATCCACTCCTTCCCTTGGTAAAAGCTTCAAGCTTCGGGAGTTGGAATCTAACCAGCTATTCAAGAACAACATGTCAATTCCTGTTGGGTATTGGATGACACTCCTGTCGATTAATGGAGTTAGTTCTGGTGACAATGAAGGGTCTTGTTTACCTTGTTTGCAAACATAAGCCCAAGACTT